TAAGCCCAAGCGGCGGACGGTGGTGGCGACAGGTCTCCTCCATCTCATGCGCAGGGGTGGTGCGGGGGCCCCGGGCCATCGGGAGTGCGCCCTGAATTTTAGCCTCCGCTGCATGGTGGTTCACTCCTGGTGGCGGCGGCATGGTGGTGTCTGGTGGTGGCGGGAGCGTCGTGGAAGGCATGTTCTGTTACACGGGGTGGATGTGTACATGCTAGTCCATGCCCTGATCCGAATGGATTTGTCTTGGGAGACCGGCGTGTTTCATGGGCGAGGAGCTGGGGTCCACGACGACGCTGGCAATCCTGGGGAAACCCTAGATCTCCGCAGTATCGCGCGATGACTGTGCTACTACGTCCTATTCCCTCTTGAGAGCGTCATCTATGGAGTTAGCTCCAGTCAAAGGGACTAACGACGACGGAATATGTCTTTATGGGACGCTCCGCGTGTATCCAGTCAGAAGTGGCAGATGATGGCGGCGTCTCTGACGTCGTTTTTGCAGGTTGTGTCACAATGCTCGGGTTATCTAGGGTGAAACCCTAGATCTGGATCTGTTGGATCAGATGATGACGACGCCTTTGATGTCGTTCTCCCTCCGGGTGCATCGTTTCGGAGCAAGTGCTAGATGGAGTGTGCAAAAGGTGGCGCGGTGTTGCATCTTTAGCATCGACGGCAGCGTGTCTCGATGTCGTGGCACAGTGGGGTCTCGGTGGTGGACGCGTAATGATGGGCGTGCGCAAGAGGATGGCGTTGTCTAGCGTTGTGGGGGCGTCAACGATAGAAGAGCCTAGCAAGGTCAATGCATTGATCACTTCTCAAGATGGCACGTCAGAAAACGGCAGGGGCAGATTATAGAGTGCATGCATGCCATGCGCGCTGAGGGTCTACTAGACCGGTTGGTGGTCCCGGCTTTCAAGTGGGTGGCTTGGTCAAGCCACCGGATTACATGTTGTGGGATGGGGCTATGTTAGGGCACATCATCAACTTTGTAGGTATGTCGATAGTGTATGCCTAGAAGATGGCTTTGGGTTGATTTATGTATTTATTTTGAAAGACTTTGTTGAGTAATATAATAAAGATGGTTCTGTGCATCGCTCGATGCAGAGGCCGGGGTTCCCGTCCTTATCGAAAAAATGTACACATATATCACATGGAATTCATTGTAGAGGCAAAAAATAAAAACTCGGAGCAACCATTGAGGCATTGTGAGTGCATCTGCTAAAGGCATTTTATTTATGCAGCTTTCCATTAGATTTCAATTGCAGACCACATAAGCTTTGGGCTCATGATTCCAAAAAAATATCAACATTACACCTACGTACACACCTTATGCTCGCACAAATAAGATAACTTATATTTTGCAAGAAAAAAATCATATGCAAACAAGAGGCTAAAAGAGCAAGCAATGAATGATGGCATCTTTAGAAATGGATGACCAAAATAGACCTTGACTGTGTTTTACTCTTCATTGGCATCATCATGCTACAGTTTTCCCCGTAATGATTCGGTTTCCTTACAAACGATATTGATCAACGAACCAGTTGTATCGAAATTGCACGATGTGGTGATTCATATGTTACTGTGAGCCATTGTTAGCTAATAATCTAGT